GGAGATACGAAATGGAGTTACATATAAAGAATTCAGGAACCGTGTTGTTATTGTGTGTGGGGGGGAACGTATGCATATTTCAGTACTCCCACCTGTCATCTTCTGTTGGCCTTTTTGCCAAGTTTTCAATACATATTCGTCCTCCAGCGACCTGGGATTTGTAAGACGACTCTTCCAAATTCTGAGGATGCAGCACCGAACCCAAAATTCGGCGTCTTTTTAACAACCTGGTGGTCACACCATTCAGCACCGGGAAGGGAAGAGAATAATAAAGTAGTGATGTTTAATACGAAGTGTATATTTGCTAAATGTAACGAAAAAGGAAAAAGTAGCTAATTATAAAATAGCATTCTCCCCTTTGTGGTATAATACGTAGGAAGGCTAATTAACGTTTGTGGAGGGCACAAATTAAGCTGCTGGCTAGTCACTTGAATATGATATCTGGTCTGTAGTTCTGTGTACGTCGTGCGTTATCACTTTCAGTTCCTTCCATGTTGGCAGCTTGACCTCATGATTGTCAGGACCAGTATTGCATTTCCTACATTCACACTGTACTTTAAAATGAAGCAATGCTCTGTTTACTGGCAGGGAACTTAAAGCAGTGTTTCATGTCACTGCTTACGATTTGCGCAGTAATTGTGAAAAATGACAGCGCAGAGCGAACTGTAATGCTGAGTCTGCTTTGAAGCAAGCTACCTGCAAGGCAAATTCCTTGCGCCTTAGTGCTTCATGTGCATACGGATTTGCCGGCGTCCATGTGTGATATTCAAATGATAAATTACACAAAACCAATGTCGAAACATGTTTTATTTTCTACATAGCTGAAATTAAATACCCTGCCCCCTTTTTGACAAAATAAATGGATGCGACCTTGGGGAGGGGGTCCAGGAGAGAATTATCTTCATAGTTTCATCGTCTTCGACGCTCGGACTATAAACCCTCCCGACTCCGCTCTGGTATTTTATCACGCCATATTTTTACTGGTGTTTCTACTTTCATTTTGTAGTCGAAGAATGATGCCAGGTTTGTTTAGGGATTCGGGCATTTGTCCATTGTGTGCAGTTTTCTCTGTCCTAATTATTTTGCTGTTTTAGCAGAATATATCCAGGACTGGTGAAATTCAACGGGGAATATCTTTCGTGCCTTCATGCCTCACCCGCTTTCTTCTGTTTCTTTCGTACTTTTTTGTCTCTTTCCGATCTCTCGTATTTGTATCCAGTTTCATTTTTCTTGCCTCATATTCGTTTTACCTTTCTTTCTTTCATTTATCTATTCCGTACTCTATCTCCTTCCCACCGAAACACGCCACTACAGCAGAACAACAACGAAATATTATCCTTGCTACGTTGTTTAATTTAATATTTTCAGTTAAATCCGCTACTATTTAAACAGTGCGGGAAAGCATGATTGGTTATCAGTGTTTTGAACTATAAGGAACAATTTGTAACGCGGCATCAGTGATGCAACACAGTAAGAAAGTACAAAAATAATGCCCGCAGATTTGTTGTACATTTACTGGAAGAAATTTTATATTTTGATCTCCGCATCTTGGCGTCGCCCACGTTTCACATCCGCATATCTGAGCGTTTGTAAAATATATCATTGTAGGCCAGTTTTGGATTTTGTGCTTTGACCATGATTACCAAACATTTAAACAGACGTGTCAGAAGAGGTTATGTTTCTACTTTGTAGCATTAAGTTACAATAAACGACGAGTTTTACAATTCTTTAGAATGCCGTTTTGTTTTGGACAGGCAGTATTGACGGAGAAGTGATTCTAACCCGGGCTGTTCCCTGTTATTAAAATCCCGAGACAGTCTATGCCAAATAAATAGCCCCGTTTACTATTTCAAAACCCTCGTTACAAATTCTACAATATTAACATTCGCTTACTGCAATTAATTCTGGACTAGTTAGCCATATTTTTTTTTTCTTATTATTTTATGGTACATTGAAGCTACTTTTTGAGACAGAGAACCCGCTTCTTAGGTCAGAAGCGTAACCTGTGTTTCTCCTTAAATGTTTATTTTATTCATGGACACTGCGCTTTCAGTATGTTTTATGGCTTATCCTTGCCCTGAATTTATAGACTCGGCTATGCCTGAGCAAGAAGTAAATCGAGAGGAGGTTTATAAGTTGAAGAATGGTATTGGTTTCTTTGAAAAAATAACTTCGAGATATGAGTTACCATCCAAAATTTCATTTGTAGACATTTGTAAACTCCCATTCTCCTTTACCTCTGAGCTGCATGCAGTACATACTTGATGGTTGCGAAATAAGCACCGCTCCATGTAGACATTTTGGGAAGGGAAGACGTATCTTATGAACTCAGTACCGTGTGTTTAGCTCCCGACCCGGCCGCTTTATCCCAAGGAAGAACACCGGTAGCAATTTGACAGGTGGTGGTTGTGCGAGACATAGAACTGGGACGTTGTGGCGAAAACGAGAATCACGTCCTTTGAGGATATGAAGCCCGATCTTGGCTCCATATACATGGCGATTCATCGCCCTGATGACGGAGGCAGTATGACCTCTGAAACGGTGGCAAACATCGACCAGACTACACAGCGCTACAACCCAGAAGACAGATATCTTCATACTCACCGCTGTGAAATCATACACGCATACAGTAATTTGTAACACGTACGTCTGTGGGTTCGAAGGTAATTTCGCAAGGACATGGTGTATGGGGTAACTATAGAAACTGTAATCTGATAACGGAAATCATATTTGAATACGTAAGATAAGATTTTAATTGCAAAGTGAAAGTGACTGGGTGGTAAATTCTTATCTGTATGAAGATCATTTCACTGCTATTGGTGGGAATTCAAAATAAGAGAAAGAAAAATACGTGACTTTACCATCACGGTTCAAGGTTTATATGACAGATTCAGCAACCAATCACAGGTTTAAGTGATAGCCTAAGACCCAATTCGAGTTCTGCCGTAGCACAGCAATCGAGAACACTGCTTCTCGATCATTTACTATCGAGGGTCAGTTCGATGCCAGGTGACACAGGCCTATAACGAAACGAACAGCAATAATGACTTTTTGTAATTAGCGAATAAACGTTTTTTTAATTACGCTAACACCTGTTAATTACAAGGCCGCCGATATGATTAGAAATATTGATGCGAATCTGGGAATGGTTGTCGGTACACGCAACGCTCCTATGGACTCGCAGAAAAATATGATTTATTCCTGTTTTAATAACGGGGACGAAATTAAGTGGCTAAAAATGATGTGTTGGTAAGACCGGACGGAGGCGGTCTGAGTTTGAGGTACAATGCCGAAATTCGTCTGGAGACACTGAAGAATATAATTACGATTATCCGATTAACACGGAAAAATGCGTAATAAAATTCGGAAATGTACTATCATTAAACACGTGGAGTTGCCTAGTTCTTCACCAGTTTCAATACCAATTTTCATTTAAGCTAAAAAGTAAATGTATATTTTTCCAAATATACAGCATAAGGCAGATAGGTCAGGGTTGTGTTCTTATTTATACCAATTCTGCCTTGGTTCGATAAGTTCGCACCTCCACCATGTTGGTATTATAATTGGATATTGAAATATTCTGCGGCGAAGTGACCATCAGTGGCATGGCATGCATATCTAATTCCATTAAAATTAACCAACATGTTTAAACGTCTTTAAAATGGTTTTGTAGTAAGTATATTAGATTATTTCCTTTCGGAAACTAGATTTAAATTCACGTCCCAGTTTAATAATTTTAGTAACCTCAGCACTGACTTGTGTTTCCTGTACAGCTGAAATATAGCATAGTTTACGTAGTAGTTTTTCATTGTAATTATGTAAACCCGCGTAGATGTATGTAAAAACATTTGAGTTTATTGTGTCACGCGCCATTCGTTGTTTCTTGCCGCACATCAAATTGCATTTTTTCTGCCTTGTTATCATTTTAAAAGATTATTTCCTTTTCGTTAGAACATTTTCTCTACTTTGTGCCAGGCCGAATGAAGCTGTAAGCAAACGAATGTATGATGTATCCAGACCGACTCAGACTATAACCAAGCACCCAATCCCCGCGGGCTTCAAGTTGGAAGTGGGATGTGAATTAAAGGAAAAATCTTTTTCTATGGGAACCAATTTGCAATGGAAATTGTATCATTTCGACTACTACTGCAGTTGATGGCATCTCCATTTGTGAGCATGTGAGATATGTAGGCTACATGCACTGCTCTGCCCTTCTGTCGTCCCTCATTCAACTCACACGCACGCCTGCTCTGTACAGGCGAATGCGCACAGTGGGCCTGCATTTTCAGGACCCCCCTCCTTCGAAATTTATGTAAATTCGGTTTTCGTTTTCCATCAGACTACGCAGTTAGAAGAGGTAACTTTATTTTTGATGAATATAGTAGTTGGCGCCGGCGTGGGCGTGAGAGTGCCGGGCCTCTGTGTGTATCATAAAGTGATATGCATACATTTCCGCACTCACTAGGCACATGCAAACCAGCGAACGACTGGTTTCAGTAAAGGGCGCAATAGAATATATTACCATGACTCTGATAACTTGTAGGCCGTACCCAGTTCGGTAGTTGATGTAAATCATGACACGTTTGTTTACTAGGAAGTTGCTTTACAGTAAAATTGAAGTGATTTTCCTATTAAATGTATTTTGCTAACCACACAGAACAGAATCCTTCCTAAGAAGCTAATAGTCGCTAAGCTAGTCGATATAATCTCTTATTGGAAGCCGGAAGATCGTTGCAGTGCTCAGAAGGTCTCGTCACTTGATCTTGTCCTGAACCACTTCAAAAAGGCATTGATTTGTCATTCCTGTGAATTTCTAAACGGTAATTGAACAGAAAGCACTGCGTGGTAGTTGGTTTCGCAAGGCGACTCAGCGTACTATTTGATTACAGGTGAAAAACATGCTTCAGCCCCAGAGACGGAGGTTTAGGCATATGAGCCCATATTGACATGCCGTAATAAGAGTGTATTTATTGTAAATAACCAGACTCTTTGTTTTCCAGTTGTGTTGCTGGATACGACCCAAGAGGCCACTCTGGAATGGACCCGCTACCCTTACGGACCACAAGCCAACACACCGGGGGTGAGTGACCAAGAGAAATTACATATTTAGTTTTGATGCTGTCATGACTCGGATCCTGTTAAACTGTTATTGTAACGATAAAATTAAACATAGTTAAGGCATGTGTTCCGTAACGAAAGGTAGTTGCATGACAGCGTTGATACAGGACATGGGGGTAACGCGTCTCTGGTAGCCGAGAAAAGCACTAAAAATTCATGTGTCTGGGTTCATATTTTATTTTCAGGAAAGCAATTCCACACACTTGGACTCACATGTTGCGAATTATAACGAAATGGAAATTTTGGAGATAATGGGCGGTTTTAGGTTTTGCATACTGCCGTAGCTATGCTGATGAAGGTTCGGTGTGTAAATTTCATTATGCGTTTAATGCCAGTGTCTATTGCGCCATCATAGCTGGGCCTTAAATAAGTTATCACACGTTCCAAAAGCCATGCAAAGGAAATTGTTTTGTTTTACATTCATAACGCGAAACCGTGGCAGCCAGCTGTAATAGGAAATTAGTTTTCATTCCAGCGCAGTAGATTCTAGTTATGGAAATAGAATTTGGGTTCATGACTCTAATGCAATACTATTGAACTTGCCATATACTTCTTGTAACAAAGTATATAATTATGCATTTATAATTTAGGGAAAAATATTCAATTAAATTTCAATATTTCCTGACTAAGCTTGGAACTATCTAGCCTCCGTTAATATTTATTCATTTTAATTGAACCAATATTTGCAACTATACAAATGGTCGACTGTAAAGTAGTTTATGCTGACATTTGAGAAATCGCCCACAGTAATCTGCAGAGGACATCTTTCTGTAAGATTTGTATCGGGGTTTCTCAACATTTCCAGACGTTGGGCTTCATTAAGTCTTCGTCATCTCGCGGGCACCATAATTATAAATGAAGGCAGCATACCAAAAATAATAATTTGCCGTTGTGATACGCAGGAAGTAATTTATTTCATACCACTTTTTACCAGACTGAGCATTCGATGCTGACATTACTCAGTAATTTCGTCACACAAAATTAATCCTTACTGAGGCATTTGTTACTGTTTCTACTAGAGGATACAAGGTTTAACATTTGTTACTGAGATCTGCATGCATTCTTCGAAATTTTCATTAGTAAGATGCGCCCTAGTTCTCGAGTTTACTTTGTTCTTACGGTGATAGGTCGTACGTAGTGACAGAACGAAAAAAGCAGCAACAGCGTGTACCTACTGCATTTATGGCATGGCAGTGTCGTAAGGTTTTGCAGTTGTGTTGCTGTCCAAAGCGTATCACATTGGTGTGTGACAGTTTTACACGCACGACGCCATGATGATTATCTATAAATTGCTTTCCACTATCACCCGATCGTTTACCATTAGATCAGGGAATGGATATATCGAAATGAAATCATTGTGGCCTCCTTATCTTCAGGACAATACCGCTGTCATTGTGCAATGTCGCTTACAGAACAAAGGCAGATAATGTAACGGTTTCGTTCTTAAGCCCATTGCTTTATGCGTGAAAGCATTATAACCAGGGTTTCCTAAGCGCTTACACTTTTAGGTCGCACACAACAGTTTTGTGTGTCATTTTCGAGTGATTTATTGATTGTAAGGTTTTTTTAAAGGCACCATATCAGCTAGAGTGTTTATAGGATGTCTGTAGTCTAGTGATTGTGGTTAATGCTGAATGGACAAGGATTTAGATGGAGACACCTGTTACAGTTTCGAAAGACTGATAAAGTAAATTGCCGGTTACCTCTCGTATGCAAATCAAGAGCTTTTGGTTCACTGGTCATTTACTGCTCTGTTTTCACTGCATCTGTTATTTGGCGTCGATAGATTCGCGTCTGTGCTTTTGATATGAACACGAAAGGAGAATAAGTGGATGTGGCATGTTTATACATACTGACCCCAGAGAGAGAGAGAGGAATCTTTTGTTGTTTTCCTCCGGCTTTCAATGCTTGATGAAGGATGCATGTGAAATGCACCAACTAAAAAAATTAATGCTGGTGTCGAAAGATTATTCAAGCCAAAGCAGTGTCAAATATCTCTCTAAAGACTGATTTTGTTCCAGACAATTATTGTATGATTTATGAACCCGTTTGTAATAGGAGGCATACTTGTAGAAGAATTTGAAATACATTGCCTAGACGTATAAATAAAATGTCCTCCTTCATAACCCTGTGGCCCGCGAGTCGATAAGGAACAGCGAATGTAGCCCCAGGACTGGTTAAGATTAAGGGCGGCTGATGGAAACTAAATTAATTTGACTCGTGTGTTCTCGGCCAGCTGCGCCATACACAGAGGTAAATAGTGCAAGAACTCTTCGGAACGTCGGTGTCTTTTTATTTAAATTCGAACGGGTAAAATGACCTCTTCTTATGAACAGGTCAAGGATTAACCTATGTAACACTTCGAATAATGGATTTCCTCACTTAATAATGTTAACGAAGGGCCTCATCTGAAATGAAATCACAAAGAAAAGTCCATTTTGAAAAGGTACTGCCATGATATGAAGTGAAAGTTGTGCGGGAAAAGGGGCGATGGCAAAAGACTGAAGTTTCTGGAGTCTTAGGACCAAAGGCTTCGAAACTACTACATTTAACCCAGGTTTCTCTCACAGCAAACTTCTGTCTTAGTACTTGAGCTGTTTTCTTAACGGAGAGCTGTTGACAGTGTTACCGAAGTGAAATTACGCCAAGGGCTATCGTACTTTCTGTAAGAGTTGGTGTAGTGGATTAAGGAGTTTGGATCTCAATCTCAGCCTTAAATTTTTGAAAAGGGATCATCGAGAGACAGGGCAAGAACAGCATCAAAGTTTAAGCGCTATGCTCAGAGACCTGATCAGTCTCTAGCTTTGGTGTGTCAAAGTTATCACATAAATGACAACAGACTGACTGCATGTTTACCACTGACTTGCACGATTTATACTGCCTTTGATCTCAAAACAATTTCCCAGCTAAAGGAAGGAAGGGAAAAAACCACGCACACACAACATACGTATTGGTGTATCTTTCCGAAAGACTTCCGCAGTTTTCCTCGAGGAACAATGAGCGCCCCATTGCTGTTTTTTCGCTACGGACCTACCCACTTCTAGTAGCAGTTGGTCATAAAACTTCTTCTTAAATGAACACCTGCATTCTAATCAACCAATCAGCCAGCCAGCCAGTCAGCCACCCAAACAAATGAACTAACAAGCATGTATGTAATACTGAGCTACCTCAGTTCGTTCTGTTCAACCGATTAGAACATTATTTTCTTCTGTAGTCGTCAGAATAAAACCTCATCGTAAATAAGTCATAGAAAACTTTTTTTGCGATATGTCACGAACGAGATGGCTGAGACGTACTAGGCGCTATGACAGAAGAAATGCACACACAACATTGGTTGGAAAACTCCTAGAGAAGAAACCACTTTGAGCAGAGTGTTGACTGGCAGTTTGAGAAATCACTGATTGTCCTTCACATACCGTTGCCATGAACACCGGCCAAATTGTGACCTGCTGAATAATTACGAACAGTTTGATTAATCCTGCACCATGGAATTACTTGTTTGCCTATTCATTTAGTTTAAATTCGGATTAAATTACGAGCCGAGACAGCTCGGCCGGTGTAATGACCCAGATTTGACTGCCGAGAGGAGTTTTGTTTATCCCTTTGTCACCACGACCAGACTGGCTCTGGGTCGCTCCAGTCTCGTGTTCAGAATGTACCGGCGATCCCCCTGAGGATGAAGTGGTCGAAGTGTGAAGCTGACCATTCACTTTAGTCTAGCGCCGCTACTCACTTGACCAACGCCGTTCTTGCAGAATTTGAAGGTTCGACGTCCCTTATATCAAAGTCTGCCATTGTCCACGGTCTTGAGCTACTTCCACCTCCTATACATTCAGTATAAACTACCTGAGATCCATCTTTATGTTACCCCATCTCCTTTGTCTTCCAAAAGGCCTCCCCTCCAAATTTTGACTGCATTCCTTCTCTTCCTCCCCCTCCCAATTTAGCTACATGCCCAACTTATACCGTCTCAATGGAACTACTAGGTGACGCATCTTTCACGAAGTGCTTCATTATGTGCTGTTCTGCATTTATCACTTGGTGCATTTTACTGGGCCCTTTTTTCAAACACTTTGTCATCTGTGTTCTTCATCCATACAAAGCAAGTGTACATCCTAATATTTGGCTTTTCAGAAAGCAGGCGTGTTTAACGATGAGCAGAGTTGTCATCCACCTTTTTATTGGGCGGTGTTTTAAGCATAAGGGCGTCCTTACCTTTTTCCTGTACCGTGTATAAATACGGAGCGCAGTTGCAACGCAGCCCGAAGTGCCTTTTAGTAATCGGGGTATTTATCTACAGTGACCACTCTAAAGATTGAGCTATTAATTTACAGATATGAGCGCATCGCAGGTGAGCAGCTGTTTATAGCTTGTGTATGGGTATTGTTCACCCACTCATGATGGCCAGCAT